GCCATCACACTCAGACAGATCATCGTGATGGTCCACCCGATCAACATCCACGACTTCCGACGGTAGCCATAGATGGGGACGCAATCTGACAACAGGCCAAAGATGGCCTTGAACGACCACCCGATCACAATCAACACCTTGTACGACGACGTTTGATACCCCTCCAAGTTGAGGTAGATGTTGAAGATGGGGTAGTTGAGCGACGGGATCATGCCGTAGATGACTCCAATGGCGCCGTACTGCATGAACAGCGCAAACGCTTCGCGGGACCACAAGTCCAGGGCCCCCCCTTCGGCCAACGCCCCCTCTTCCAGGTCCTTGGGAGATTTCGCTTCGGCGTACCCGTCAACGTCTTTGGGCGTGACCGAATGGATGTAGGACACGCGTTCCTCCAAGTCCGCTGCCTTGTTGTCGTGGCTTGCCATGGCAGACGCGAATTTGAAAGTGAACTAATTGTTGTGACTCCACCAATTCCGCTGAAGGTGAGATCAGATTCCTTGAACGTCACAGGGTTGATCACTTCGTGGTTGAGTGTAACGTTAGTTTAGCAAATCACACTGCCAAGCATGTCGCGTATATTCTCGTGAAATATTCTGTCTCAAATACCTGGAGTTGCAAGAGGCCGCACTGGAACCGAGCAAGGAGGTCCATCCTGTGTTGCTATGGACAGAAGGAACAGTAGAAAGGGTGTCATTCTAACTCGGGTACTATTTATTAAATTTAATAGTACAAAGCTAGCTTGTGCATATATATCTACTACTACGTAGTACTAGTACCACGTACAGTAAAATAATTCCCTGAGCGCAACTGTTCTATTGTTGCTTACGTAATCATTTCCCTTCAAGAAACCAGAAGCCCTGAAGGTCTTGTATGGCTATTCCCCGGGTTAAGCTTCATCACCAGTGGTTAGCTATCGCCAACCACTGAAATGCACTTAACCCGTAGCTGGAATGTGTTGTTTTGGTTTACACTGCATTTGACTATGACATAATAAGAACAAGTGGAACTGTTGCTCTCAGGGAATTACTGTGTAACTAGTTATTAATAGTAGGAAAGTACTCTTAGGTACTACTAGTAGTACTGTACTACACGAAGTACTACGCCTAATAATGGAATGCGACAGACTGTACCTACTAGTACAGTAGTACTGTAGTATTCGCTACATGTACTACTGTAGTTTGACAAGGTGTAATTGACGGTTCTGGTTGGCCACGGACATGATAATAGGC